AAAGGAAGCGTGAAGATTGTTTTGAATTCAGAAATAGTTTTAGACCTCTTGAGATTTTTGCTCTTTATATTCATATTAGATTCCGAACCTTACACATGAAAACAGAAAAAGTCGAGAAGATGTCTTAGGCAGGTCTCCAGCGAGCTGCGACCGACGGGAGGTGTGAGCAATGTTTTGAATTCAGAAATATGTTCAGACCTCTGTAGGTTTTTGATTTATATATTTATATCAGATTACGAACATAAATAAAGCAAAGAACTGCAGAAGATGCCTGAGTTAGGACCCCAGCAAGCACCGACCGAAGGGAACAGTGGCGGATCCAGCCCGCGAGCGGTACGAGCGGTCGTTCGTACCTTTTAACCAAAAAACTGTTTTTTCCCAGCAGATCTCTGTTAGAATAATTTGTTTCTATGACGACCGCACGTATCTCGCACTTTTATCGTATACCGCACGTACCAAAAAATAATTCTGGATCCGCCACTGGAAGGGAGGCGTGAGCATTGTATTCGATTTATAAGTCACCAAAGGGCGTTCGCTTGCGTAGATCCAACTTAATAAAGTCAAGGGGCCGAGAGTGTGGAGACGAGCGTTACATTGTGTGTTAAGTTCCAATTTCCCGCTGTTCCCTTGACTTGAGTCTAGGGTGTTACAAAACAGTAGTCTGTCTGTTCGTGTGTGTGTTCGCAAAATACGGAAAAATGGTTGTCCGACATTCCATGGATAAGCCAATCATAATTGAGAAGAAAATTTATTTATTTTTAACTACGAGAGAGAAAATATTCAAAGAGATGATCTGAAATATCTACTGATGCAGAGGGAAGAACAACTAACAAAACCTTTTCTGTACGCCGTAGACAGATGTCGCGAGATAGCAGCCAACTGTGATAATACAAAAAAAGTCGGCTGTGGATAATAAAACCTTCAGAGTATGGATAATCTATCGTAGTGAATCGATCAGTAATACTACCGACCCCATGGGATCAGAAGAGGGTGTTCAGAAAATCTTTTCTCTTTAAATTACACTAGATGCTTTTTTCGTGGAATCAGAGAAGTTCACAGCGTTTCTCAGCTAAATCGATGGTATAGAAAAAGAAAGAGAAAGATACGGCGTGTGTGGTTCCCATACATTATAAAGAAAAGAAGAAAGAGAATAAAAGGTAACGATATGTACAACAAACTGGCTACTCCAAATGCACACTCTTTTTTAAGTCACGTCTTTAGAACATACCATTATCCAATGATAATTTCACAAGCTTCAGCTGCCTGATGCTTACTTCTATGTAAGCGAATCTAGAAAACGAGGAAATTTTGATTGATAACAGTATCTTATCGAAAGTTCGGATAAACCAATAACGTGATTTTCAACTAAAATCTATAATGATAATCGTAGCAGTTTTATACTGGATATTTTCTAAATTATTATCTACTCCTTTATCCAAGCAAAAGCGACCCAATTTTTTGCTTGGGTAACTTCGAATTATTTAGTGACTTTTATGAATTAGAACTAGATAACTTTTTGAGCACATGAACGTCTTGAGGAGATAAAGTGGAGAACAGTTTTAACTTTAGAACACTTTGCTTTCGATTCAATATGTATTCGTTTATCAATTTCATAATGTAGATTTGCTAATTGCCTCTTACTTTGATATTATGAACTGAAGATGATTTACGTTCTTGTTTGGAGATTGTAAGATGTAAATTCATGATATAGTTCTTTAGAGACATAGGCGACAGGAAATGAGAGTTTTTTTTTTGTTCTATCTCATTACTTCTTTGTAGTACGATTTCATAAGGGGATCAGTTTTAATAACTTCCGGTTATATGCCTTTTTCCATTATAAACTATAATAGAAATCGTCATAAAATAGAGAACCGTCTAAACGACAATATTTGCGACGAAATAGTTACTTCTGAGTGAAATGAATGCATTGCGCTAAGGAAAATAATTTAGAGTTTTTCGCTTCTTCAATTATATGAATCATAGAAACTTGCCTCGAAGAAGTGGTTCGTGGTTCTTGGGTTGATGCAGGTGGCAGTACCTTAGATTTCAGAAGATATTTTTTTCACATTTTCTAACGGTCTAAAAATTGATATTCAAATGGCAAAAAATTGCGACCAGCAGGGTTACTGGCAGAAGTTAAATGTCTGTTGTTTGACCGTTTTTGACATTTAAAAAAAATGCGAAATAAATGCATTTAAGAGAGACTTTTCCGATCGATCGAGTATCGTGTCGGACAGTCAGATACAGAACTCAATTCTCTACAAACTGAACCGAAAAAATTTATTTTAAAAGTGGTGGAAAAGTTCCAAAACTTGAGAACAAGATGGCAGTCCGATAGCATTTTTTCAGGTTTTTGAGACGTTTGGTGTCAGAACATAACTCTGAAACAAAATAAGGTGAAATTCGGAATCAACGTCAAAAACTGCATTAGATGATGTGCTTTTGAGAACTTTAAAGAAATAAAATAGTTTGGCAGTTTTTCGATTTTTTATGTTTCAGCTTCCGATTTTTGACATACGCTTTTATTTCTCTAAAAATTCTCAAAAGCACATCATCTGATGTAGTTTTCGATGCTCCTTCCGAATATCATCTTGTTTTTGTGTAAAAGTTATGTTCTGATGCCAAACGTTTCAAAAAACTGAAAACAATACTATCGAACTGCCATCTTGTTCTCAAGTTTTGGAACTTTTCCACCACTTTTAAAATAAAGTATGTTCTGATGACAAAAGTCTCAAAAAACTGAAATGAAGTAAAACTTATTCAGTAAAAACTTTTATCATAGTATTGTTGCCATAAGTAAGTCTTCCTAGTGGTACGGTATCACTAGTGCGTAGAGACCAGTGTTTTCTATAAAAAACATGAATCTGGGCTACTACGTGTTGGTGTCTTTCTTTGTGCACAAAGATAAATTCTGCCGTGCTTTTTTACTTGCTTCTAGTATACAGATCGACGAAGACACTCAGTGGGGAAAATATAGGCTTATCTGACTGTTTGACACAGTCTTTCCACTGAATTCATCCTGCAGCAGCGATGCTAAAATTCCAAACACATTCGCACGCTTCACTCGAAGCTGTCAGCAGTTCCTCAGCGATTCACTATTTGTGTCAGCGCTACAGTCATTCGCATTAGGTCGCCGGATTATTAGATTCTGTAAAGTGTGGGCGAGATAATTAAAATCTTTGATGTCTCATAATCGATTAAATACTTAACGATTTCCCCGCACATCCTCTTCATCTTGGTCTGAAATGTTTCATTAGGGTATGTTTAAATATTTGGACTCTAAGTTGTGTTTGATGCAACAGAGAAAGTTTATGCTCTTCTGCAAGAAAATCTCAGAACTAAGACTGTTATTTACAAACTATTATATATACATATAAGGAGAGGAAAAGGTTTTTCGACAGAAAAAAGATTTTGCGTATTACAATCCGCGATAAAGAAATAAAAATAATGTTATGGACGATAAAATGCTGCGTGCGAACTGATTCATTTTGTTCCATTATTGTCGGGCACAAGTTCTTTTATGCGCGCAGGTGACCTTGAATATGTTCTGTTTGCTTTTGACGTCGATGCTACTGTACGTTCTTGAATTCTGATTAAATTTGGGCCAAACACATGTTGTAACAACTTTAAAAGTTCTTTTCGGTAGAGTCGAGCACTCAGTGTATATATGTAAAAGTCAACACTATAGCTGGCATTGAGTAGTATACGTGACAAATTTTGTATGAATAGAAACAAAGTGCTGGGTGTAGTATAAGCAGCTACAATAGCTAATAAAACATTGTATGGCATAGCTAATAAACAATAAACAGCTAAGTGCACGAGTAACATTTTTAATAACTGGCCTTCAATTTGTTTTGCTGAACGGGTGCCGTACATTTGAATTGGTTGTATACGCTGATGTTGTTGTATTACATTGAAAATTGTTAACAAACCAAATATAAAAATCAATAATACAGGCAGAAAATAAAAGCACAGTGTAAATATACCAAAAAATTGTGCATATAATCCCGATTGTGCTTTGCATGAACCATTTTGGATTTGAAAAAAGACTAGGGTATGCAAAAAACCTCCCCCAGATACCAGTATTGTTGACGGGATAAGAACATAAGCCACCTTCAGTTGACTGAATTGACGATATCGAGGATTTGCCGAGCTGGAGCAAAATCGATCGATAGTAGCCCACATAGACCAATAGGGCGATAGGTTGTAGGTAGCGTAGGAGAAGTAATTTCGAAATCGGCAGTAAGGTAAAGAATATCGTGTTGGATCCAATGCATATCCATCAGCTAACATTCTTGTTATAGCTCCAAAGTACAGTACAGGAAAATTGTTGATAGCCGATGCCAAAAAATACATTGAACATGACCGCCATAATGATTTGCGGGTAAAGATCAGAATGCTGAAAACGTTACCGATAGTACCCATGATGATGATAAACGGCTCCAAGAAATTATTGAGAATTTTGTAAACATCATTTAACGGATTCAATGTGACAGATGAATTCATCGAATTGATTCTCAAGTCAGCTAGTTATTGTTTTGTGTAACCTCTCCTTACAAATGTCGAAGAAATCTAAGAAGATTTAGAATGTGAGTTTAGATGGCAACAGCAACTAAAGAAACCGAATGAGATCAGTCTTGCGTATGACTTGGGAACCTGGCTGACTAGCTCAGTGGCTACGGATTTAATACGTATAAATTTTGAGTAAAAGCTATAATTTTACATTTCACCGCATTACGCTGGAATTAACTCAGAAAAGTATAAAATATTAGTATCTTCGAAGTGGTATATCAATGTCAGTATCAATACAGCCATAGTTTCCTAGCTTTCGCTTACCAATCTCATGATGTAGATTTGCTAATTGCCTCTTACTTTGATATTATGAACTGAAGATGATTTACGTTCTTGTTTGGAGATTGTAAGATGTAAATTCATGATATAGTTCTTTAGAGACATAGGCGACAGGAAATGAGAGTTTTTTTTTTGTTCTATCTCATTACTTCTTTGTAGTACGATTTCATAAGGGGACCAGTTTTAATAACTTCCGGTTACATACCGATAAATTCTGACTTTTAAAGTGAAAAAAAGAAAATAGTTTTAAACTTCTGAGAATCATAGTAACGTCACTCTGTTACATATACCGTTTGATTGCAAATTCACTCAATCTTTCCGAATTTAAGATTTTTATCGAAAAAATTTTGGACGGTTAACTGTAACTTTCATAACTGTAAAACTATAACTATCATAGTTGTCCGGACGCAAGCGTCAAAAACATCTAGTATCGCCCGATTCATTTAGATTACTAGATTTTTACTCGATTGCAACTACTGTGTAACGACAGTAGAAATCTACTAATTGGGCGATTACTAGATTTTTTCTAGTTGCAACTATTGATTTAGCGCCCGACCATCGATCGATTTAACTATTAATCGATGCACCTGCAGTCGCATCTAGTTAAACGTCTCTTTTCTAACTAGCAATCTAGATGGCAACTAGTCGTGTATCGCCCGATTATAGACGAAATGTATCTAGAATTGTCCACCCATAGGTGATATTTGCTTGGTGAAGATCGTTCAGAATGAGTTATAGTTGTAGTATTAGCATAAGTTTCAGAGTAAGACAAAAAAAGGACATATATTTAGCTTTTCTATAGAATTGGCAGAAGTTAGTTATGTCTTTGGAAGATAATTATTTCAGTTGACAAAACCACATCTATTTCTTTATTGGGTAATATAAGAACATGTGCGCAGCACACGGAAAACGTATAACACGCTGTTAGAGTATAGAAATGAAACGTTATACCTCTTTACTGTTTTTCGTGCATTTTTTTTCTAATCTAGATGGCGAAAATATTAGTGCACAAGCTTCATTTTTTGGAAAACGCAGTATGTATAAAGCAAAAGGTTTTTTCTCCGAGGAATCTCATCCGATCTGACTCTCAATGAACGCTGTTTGTGAGATCACAGAAAAACGAATATCTACGTTAATACATCTGAGTTTTTCTCGAAAGCAAGGTCTAACGACCAGGTTAAGTTTTTGAGTCTAATCGCCCATTTTGTCTTTTAGAAATCCACTGTAAGCAAGATTTTCGGCTGTCAATCGAGCTCTTAGTTTTCTTACCAAATATACCGAAATGCTGAATGCTGATTCACTTGGCACGCTGGTTCCTGGTGTAGCAAGGTGTTTTGAGCTAAATTCAATAAAATTGGCAATTGATTTTTATACGTTTGTCAGAATCGTACGGCTAGTGAACCAGTGCTTTTTTATTTATCAACAAATTTATCATTTGTTGTTATAGCTGTTGGCGGTGACGCCGAATTACTACGGTCATCATTGCTATGCTTATCATTCTGATATATCTGGTTAATCTGTTTTTCAACTACTACTTTTTCTTTGATTGAAAAAGCATTGAAATCATTTGGATCACAATAAGCATACGTCTAAGCGTAGCGAGAAGCTGAAAAAACGTGTATTTAAGCAAAAAATTTTAGAAATAAACGCGATTTTCATTGAATATGTTTTTGTACTTAGTGGATAATATCGCTGGTATTTTTCGAGTTCTTCTCTCGAACATTCTCTCAGTTGCATTGTTGCATAAAATGCGAAAGAATACTACGAACTTTCAGAGCATTATGCTGCTCAACATCGTCTTCAAAATATAATGACATTTTTGACAATAATAACTGTTTAAACGTTTTATCGTTTCGTTATCACCACCTGTACTTTCCAAAAATATTTTAATATGGTGTAATGAGAAATAAGCAAGACCAATTGGCAATTAACCAATTAACTTTCATAACTGTATAACTGTAAAACTATAACTATCATAGTTGTCCGGACACAAGCGTCAAAAACATCTAGTATCGCCCGATTCATTTAGATTGGTGATATTTGCTTGGTGAAGATCGTTCAGAATGAGTTATAGTTGTAGTATTAGCATAAGTTTCAGAGTAAGACAAAAAAAGGACATATATTTAGCTTTTCTATAGAATTGGCAGAAGTTAGTTATGTCTTTGGAAGATAATTATTTCAGTTGACAAAACCACATCTATTTCTTTATTGGGTAATATAAGAACATGTGCGCAGCACACGGAAAACGTATAACACGCTGTTAGAGTATAGAAATGAAACGTTATACCTCTTTACTGTTTTTCGTGCATTTTTTTTCTAATCTAGATGGCGAAAATATTAGTGCACAAGCTTCATTTTTTGGAAAACGCAGTATGTATAAAGCAAAAGGTTTTTTCTCCGAGGAATCTCATCCGATCTGACTCTCAATGAACGCTGTTTGTGAGATCACAGAAAAACGAATATCTACGTTAATACATCTGAGTTTTTCTCGAAAGCAAGGTCTAACGACCAGGTTAAGTTTTTGAGTCTAATCGCCCATTTTGTCTTTTAGAAATCCACTGTAAGCAAGATTTTCGGCTGTCAATCGAGCTCTTAGTTTTCTTACCAAATATACCGAAATGCTGAATGCTGATTCACTTGGCACGCTGGTTCCTGGTGTAGCAAGGTGTTTTGAGCTAAATTCAATAAAATTGGCAATTGATTTTTATACGTTTGTCAGAATCGTACGGCTAGTGAACCAGTGCTTTTTTATTTATCAACAAATTTATCATTTGTTGTTATAGCTGTTGGCGGTGACGCCGAATTACTACGGTCATCATTGCTATGCTTATCATTCTGATATATCTGGTTAATCTGTTTTTCAACTACTACTTTTTCTTTGATTGAAAAAGCATTGAAATCATTTGGATCACAATAAGCATACGTCTAAGCGTAGCGAGAAGCTGAAAAAACGTGTATTTAAGCAAAAAATTTTAGAAATAAACGCGATTTTCATTGAATATGTTTTTGTACTTAGTGGATAATATCGCTGGTATTTTTCGAGTTCTTCTCTCGAACATTCTCTCAGTTGCATTGTTGCATAAAATGCGAAAGAATACTACGAACTTTCAGAGCATTATGCTGCTCAACATCGTCTTCAAAATATAATGACATTTTTGACAATAATAACTGTTTAAACGTTTTATCGTTTCGTTATCACCACCTGTACTTTCCAAAAATATTTTAATATGGTGTAATGAGAAATAAGCAAGACCAATTGTCGGATAATTACGTCCACTCATTAACTTTGTTGCTGTATAAAACGATTTCAAAACAAAATGAATCGTACTCAGCAAATTCCAGTTATTCGATGTCAATTCAATAACTGCTAATTTATTTGCTTATTTTTGCTTTAATTTTAGAATATGAATATCATCATAAAATTTTGTTATTATTGGTTTCAGTTTCAGAAAACCATCAATCCTATAGTACGTTCAATTCCAACGTGATATTACATCAACAAGCAATTTTGGTTTTACTTTCATTGTTTTTCGCTCATTATCAATATATGATGACATTATCATCGACTTCTTTGTCTTATTTACATAAGTTCGACATTTTTTAATAATTGAATAATTGTTGTTTGATCGGTGAGACCACACTTATCATCAACAGTCACACCTATGCTCCAATCATCCGATATTAGACCATCGCCATCAAATTCATCATCGTTGAGCTCATTTTGAACTTTTCACATTTGCAATTTTCATGTTATCGTCACCACTGTTCGTTTCTTCATTGTCACTTCCTTCTACATCACTATTACTTTCTGAACTCATTGTAATCATCAACTGATCGTCTATGAGGCTCATACTTAAGTGTCATTTGAGTACTATAAGTAACATTATAAGTAGTACTTTTTTCGAGACATTTACGCTGATGCCTCTGTCTCTGCGAAAAACTATCTGAAAATTTTGAAAGGCGTCCCATTGTGAAGAGAACAGTTTACTCTATCAGAGTATGCATAAAAACAAATTTTCAAGCTATTGGAAAGAAGAGAAAAATTTATGAAACTAAAACTGTTAAGGTCTTTTATGTCTGTGAAAATATATTTATAAAATTCGTAACTTTTAGAAAAAGCGTCATGGAACGCTAGTAGTGGTCTCATTCTGTAGCCCAGACTTTTCTGTACATTAGACTATATTCAACTCAAAATCGCAAAAAAATGGTGGGAGGAGTATCCTTACGTTTTAATAAACTAAATATTTTTTGTCACACTTGAAATTGAAATACTTTTGCTAAGCACCCTTTGCTTTTTCTTTAGTGCTTTTTCTTCTCTCTCATTTCATTTCTCTAACAATCTTGAGAGTTACGTGTGTAAATGCCACCATGACGCTTTTTATGTATATATATGAGTCAATTGCAACTTTTTTGTACAATGACATTTTTGAAGTATTTTTGCTACTAACACCGTTGTTGTGAATGGATTTTCAAAGTTTTTTTTATTCTCTATCTCAGACCCTAGCCACAC